CGCATCCCCCCCACCCCGCCCCGAGTCACCGTCCCGGCCCTTTCCCCCAACATACCCATCTCTTGCACGCTGCCATCCCCGCTCACCCCAGCAGCGCTGCTCTCTCCACCCAACCCCACCATCACCACCATCTCCATCACTTCCAACATGCCAACCGGTCCCTCTGCCTTTCCCTGCCTGCTCACACTGCCAGACCCCCAACCCGACCACCTATCCCCGTCCCGCCCACCACACCAGCCCTCCCACAGACACCACCTTCTTTGAGATCACAGGGTGTGGGTTTTTGCCTCTCCCACAGCAGGACGACGAGGTCTGTCTGGTCTGGAGGTTGTGGTGACCTTCCTAAGGCACCGCTCCCTTTGCCTGGCTTGAATCCGGCTGAAATAAGCCCTGAGGAGAGGGAGAGTTGCAGGGGTTCATCCTGTTAGTGGCTGTGAAGGAGAGGGGGGAGTGGAAACCTTTCCCTCCTAGAAGTGCTGGTTTAATGGTATTATGATATCCCACAGAGGATGTACTATAAGTGTTTCAGTTTAGTTAACTGCAAAGTCTGTAAACAGTAAGTTGTTTCCACACTTTCAATCTTCCTGTTGTCAGTTTCCCAGTTCAGCCTATCATTGCACCAGAGTTAGATATTGCCCTTTTACATGGCTGTTGGAGGCAAAAGCAAAACCATCTAAAATTCAGGCAGCAGAGTGCTGTGTCCAGGCTGTAAACACCCACAAAAAAGCTTCTCGGAGCTGCTAAAGTTTGTGGAGTCATGCTGTCCTCAAAGGACAGCACGCTGTAGCTGCAGGCAAGGTGTTTGCTACCTGCTGAAAGGCTAATGCACCTTCTTCTTGAGGAAGGCCAGGAAACAGGCAGCATTGCCAGAATCCAGCACACCAGCAGGACAGGATTTGTCCCAAGGTCCTGTGGCTTAAAAACACTCAGAGGGGTGTTTAATCCAGACTGTGAGGTCAGAGCTCTGGGAGGGTTACGAGGCTGTTCCTTTCCAGCTGATGTGTGCTGCAGCACATGGTCCGCAGGCATTCCCTGCTTCCCATGACCGTGTGTGTGTCTCTGCCAGCTTCCATCAATGAAGATGAGCAGGGCATCATCCCACGAGCCATGGCCGAGACCTTCAGGATCATCGATGAGAATGACCTGATCGACTACACAGTCCGAGTGTCCTACCTGGAGGTGTACAAGGAGGAGTTTCGGGACTTGCTGCAGGTGGACACAGCCAGCAAAGACATCCAGATCCGGGAGGATGACAAGGGGAATGTTGGTATGTGTGGCTGCATGAAGGCTCCCTTTTCTCCTCATGTCTGAGGCCAGGGTTGGGTTATCAATCCCAGGTCTTCTCCCTCTGTCCCTCTCCTGCAGCAGGTTGCTGTGCTTACTCCTGTCCGATATGGAAAGCTGGTTTATGTGGCACAGTATGGGCAGGGCAACAGCACCAGGCTGCGCAGAGGAGCTGCACCCTCAGGCAGCCCGTCCCCCCCAGTCACAGCTCCATTTGCTGTTGCAGTGCTCTGCGGCGTGAAGGAGTTGGAAGTGGAAGGGCTGGATGAGGTGCTGAGCCAGCTGGAGATGGGGAACACAGCCAAACACACAGGAGCTACCCATCTCAACAGGCAGTCGAGCCGCTCGCACACCATCTTCACGGTGACCATGGAGCAGCGGCGCGGGACCGGCCGCCTGTCCCTGCACCGCCGCCCCCCCACAGCGCCCGCCTCGGGACAGGTCCTGGTTTCCAAGTTTCACTTTGTGGACCTGGCAGGCTCAGAGCGAATTGTGAAGACAGGAAACACAGGGGAGAGGCTGAAGGAGAGCATCCAGATCAACAGCGGCCTTCTTGCTTTGGGTAACGTCATAAGTGCCTTGGGAGACCCTCGGAGGAAGAGCAGCCATATCCCCTACAGGGACTCCAAGATCACCAGGTACAGCACAAGATTCCTCTGCTTGATGGTTCTGCTCACTTCTCTAGTGCTGAACCAGCCACATAGCCAGAATATAACTTTCCTTGGGCTTAACACCTCTGAAACTGGTTGGAAATCTTCTGGTTCCTGCATTTTTTTTTATTCCAGCTGTTTTAATCACTGCTCTTCTCTAGGATCCTGAAAGACTCCCTGGGGGGGAACGCCCAGACGGTGATGATAGCCTGTGTCAGCCCATCCTCCTCCGACTTCGACGAGAGCCTCAACACGCTGAACTACGCCAGCCGGGCTCAAAACATCCAGAACAAGGCTGTGGTGAACTGCCGCAAGGAGACGGAGCACATCGAAGAGCTTCACCTGCAGATCAAGAAGCTGCAGAAGGCGCTGGAGCAGCGGCACCGCTCCGAGACCCGCATCATCCACCGCTCCGCCACCGCCAAGGCGTGCGCGCCGGAGCCCGCGGCGCGGCTGCTGGCCGAGTGCGCCCATTACCGCACCTGCACCGACGCTGCCTACCGGCTGCTGATGGAGCTGCAGGAGGACAGCAACCTGACGGTGGAGCAGGTCCTGCGGGTGAAGGAGTGGCTGTGCACGGGGGAGAGCGAGAGGAGCGAGCTGACCTCGGCCGGGCTGGATAGCGGCATCGAGAGCACCTCGACGGAAGAGCAGAGCCCCGAGGCACAGGGCTCCAAGCTGGCAAAAGCTCGGGTAATGGTTGGGGTGTTGCAGCTCTGAGGTTGGGTTCATCAGGTGGCTGCTGGGCACAGCAGCCTCAGCACAGCATGGAAGAGGAGGAGAAGCAAACTGGCCAAGGGGCCATAGGGAAGCAGAACGATATGGTCCTCTCATCAGGCAGGGAAAGTTGGATTCAGCTGCAGCTGAGAGATCTATTTTACAGGAGAAATCTGGGTCTGCAGAGCTGCTGAGCCCTTGCGGTGTCAAGGATAGGAAGGGAAGGACAAAAGTGTATGCTAATGCTGCCTCTCTTCTGTTTTGGGGGGCAGGTGAACACTGAGAAGGGGAGTGAGTCCATCAAAGACGAGCAGGTTGCCAAACTTCAGAGGCAAGTGGAGCGCCTGGAAGAGGAGAACCGTGATTTCCTGGCTGCCCTGGAGGATGCCATGGAGCAGTATAAGCTGCAGGTATTTCTGGGCTCTGCTTTGTAGGGACCTGCCGTACTCCTCCCTTCATCTTTCAAGGGTAAAGAACTTGAGAACACAGCTCAGTTTTCAAGTTCCTCTGTAGCAGGCCCGGGATCCACAAAACCACATTTTTCTCATTGCCTCCTAGAGCGATAAGCTGCAGGAGCAGCAGGATAAGATCTCAGAGCTGCACATACGCTTGGAGATGGCAATGCCAAACACGTGTGTGCCAGAACTGCTGGAAAGCCTTCACCTGGTGACTGCTGGCCAGAGACCCCACACGGCCCCTCTGGATGCTGCCCCATCCCACAGCCTCACTGGGGTTCCCTCTGGGCTCCTTCCCACTGAGCAGAGCAGAAGAGTCCTTTGCAGGAAGGTAAGGGTGCAAATCTGTGCCCCTGAGGAGTAGCTGCCTTTTCACTCAGATGCTCTCCACTGAGTTAAGTGCTTCTTTCCCCACCATTGCACATGAACCTTGTCAGAGATGTAGTCTAGAGGGCTGTGCTCAGTGTTCACATCCAGATTCAGAGCTCTGGCAAGGCCAGCCTAGCTTCAAAACTGAGGCTGGTACTTCAGTGTTACAGGCAAGACCCAGATTTGCTCAGGTTCTGAGCAGCGGAAGGCAGCAGGGCAGGCAGCTGCATCTAGCAACACAGCAGTTCTCCTGGAAACACCCTCAGCTCCATTTCTTAGCTTTTCTTTGTGTCTAGCAGTGAGCCCAGCCAAGAGCCAGCTGCTTTTCCTAACACTGGCTCTCATGCAGCATGTTTCCTATCTTTCTAATTCTCTGCCCCAGCAGCTCGACAGCAGCTCCTCCTTCCAGCAGGAGGACACAGCAGGTTCACACCTGAACCACACACAGAGCTCAACCAGCAAGGCAGAGATCAAAGATGCAGTGCTGAGGAGGGAGCTCAGCCAGGACTCAGAGAAGCCAGCAGAGCTGTCCTCAGGAGAGGAGGAGGAGGAGTGGGAACAGAAACGGTCCCTGTCCCAGCGCCGGTGAGTTGAGGCTGTCTCAGCCCCAGCTGTCACACCTCTGCATCTCAGCTCTCATGTAGGATGTAGAAGCAAACACTGCCTCTAGGGTCTGTGATTCTGCTGCCTGCTCACTGGGGAACTAATTACCATCTTCCTGACCACAGCTACAGTTTCTATCTCCTTCTGAAGCCTGTGGATCATGAGGATCCTTACTGGGAACAGCTTTGGCAGCACCCAGACCCAAATGATTAATTTGCTGCTCCTTCTAGAAATGGGATCCAAAGCTGGAACAAGAAAGAGATTTGCAAGCTGAGCGAGGAGCTGAGTGGAAGCAATGCCCCCTTAATTCGAGTTGTCAAAAGGCAAGTGGCAACCATAGGTTGTTGGACAGTCTTCCTAGGGCTGGTGGTGCTTCACAGATGCTCTTATAGGAAGGCACTATGTCCCACCTGGATAAGTCCAGAGGATAAATATGGAACAGATGACAGTTTAGCTGCTTCAGTTAAAGGAGAAACTTGAACTGGTGGGGTCTGGCAAGAGCTGCGTGTCTTGGTGGAAGCTGTAGGTAACTCTGGGTAACGTTCCAGTCTTGGCTACAGATCTTAGGCTGGATTGTCCTTCATCCAGCTGCTAAGACAAGACCATCCTTACCCAGAAATCTGTGTTGCAGAGGTCTGCAGGAGGCGGGAGCTGCTGCTCAGTCCCTGGGAGCGCCTGCCAGGGAAGGACTCCGAGTGGAGGCTGGCGCAAGCACAGCAGAAGATCCGAGAGCTGGCGATCAACATCCGCATGAAGGAGGAGCTGATCACGGAGCTTATTAAGACAGGTGCCAAGCTGCTGGTGGGAATATGCATCTTTTCCCTATGACATTTCCTCCTCGTTGGGATGCTCATTCTCTTGTCCCTTCCTCACCTTCCCTCCCTGTGTTGTCTGTGCCCAGTCCCTTCACCTGTAGGCACTTTCTCCATCCCTCCAGCTGAGTGAGAACCTTCCTATTGGTTTCTCTCCAAATCCCTTCCCCAGAGTAACTGTGGGCAAAGGAACAGTCAGTCGCTGTAGTCAGAAATATTTGAGGAAGAGAGAAGAAAAGTCTGTCCTTTGGCAGGATCCTCTCTGCAAGAGAAGGGGGCCTGGAGGTCACGGTAGAGGGGGGATGTGTTGCAGGCAAGGACGCCCAGGCTCTAAACAGACAGTACTGCCAGAAGATCAGTGAGCTGGAGCAGGAGGCAGAGCAGGTGAGGACAGAGCTGAATGACAGCCAGAAGCAGCTCCAGGAGCTGGAGGGCAAGGAGCCATGGGACCCTGGGGAGAAGTGCAAGCTGCAGGAGTACCGCACACGTGTGGCAGCCGCACAGAGCAAGGCACAGGTGAGTGGGAAGGGCCCTGCCTGCCTGGGGAGGTGGGCAGGGGAAGAGCTGCGGGCATCTCGGCAAAGGACACGGGGAGGTGCCAAGCCCAAAGACAGCTGTGGCCCTCTGACAGGTTCTGTGCAAGAAGAAACAAGCGACAGAGAGGCTGGTGTCTCTCTCAGCCCAGAGTGAGAAGCGAGTGCAGGAGCTGGAGAGGAACATCCAGCTGATGCGGCGGCAGCAGGGGCAGCTGCAGCGCCGCCTGCGGGAGGAGAGCGAGCAGAAACGGCGGCTGGAGACCGAGGTGAACAAGCAGCAGCACCAAGTCAAGGTAGGAACGGGCAGGAGGGGTGGTGCTACTGCAGTATCTGTGAGGGTGATGACAGGTAGACTCTGCAGGCTGCTGGGCAGAGCAGGGTAGCTCTGATGGCGTCTGTGATTGCTTTGGAGAGCTGAGTTTAAGAGTATCCAAAGAGCTAGGGGAGAACATCTCCTGTCCCGCAGCCCCTGGCTCTGGGACAGACATTCTCTTGAGGCTCACAGCCACTCCTTCCCATGCAGGAACTGGAACTGAAGCATGAGCAGCACCAGAAAATCCTCCGCATCAAAACAGAGGAAATCGCAGCTTTCCAGAGGAAGCGCCGCAGCGGCAGCAACGGCTCAGTGATCAGCCTGGAGCAGCAGCAGGTACAGGCAGAGCCAACCTGCCACCTCCCTGCTGTTCCAGTCTGCTGTGGCAGACTGCTGGGTGGCATGGTAGGGCTGGAAGCAGGGTCTTCAGCTTGAGATGGGACATAGGCCATCCTGCCCTCAAGGAGGACAGTCCATGATGTCACTTGTATCTAGTAGCAGAGGACTTAGATCTTGTCATACCCCCAGGATCAGGATTCTTATCTAAATCCTAGTAAAGAAGCTGTGAAATCTTTTCTGTCAGCAGGACGGTAGTGGGAGATACAACCCCCAAGGACTCCTTGGCAGCTGTGGATTTAGCTCAGCTCTGCCTCTCACAGCAGCTAGAAGGATATAACCAGAGGTCTGGCATATAGGGCTTAGCAGAGATGGACTCAACTCTCACTCTGATCTCAACCCTGTTGCTCTTCAGTCTAGTAGTTCTGGGAACTGGTGCTGCTGTCTGCACACATGCACATGCCCTTTGCCTCTCCTTCCATCAGAAAATTGAGGAACAGAAGAAGTGGCTGGACATGGAGATGGATAAAGTTCTTGAGCAGCGCCGGGCCCTGGATGAGCTGGAAGATGAGCTGCGGAAGCGGGAGGCTATCGTGGCCAAAAAGGAAGCCCTGCTGCAGGAGAAGAACGGCCTGGAGAACAAAAGACTGCGCTCCAGCCAGGTAGGACCAGAGCGTGACACTTCAACCCCTTGAATTCTAGAAGAGGTGGGAGGCTGGAAGATCTGGGTGCCATCCTGGGTCTGGCAAAGGGCTGCAGGTCAGCATGAGGTGGTGATGGGAAGTGGGTAGCAAATCTGCCTCTACAGGAGAGCCTGCTTGTGCTGTGCCTCTGAGCTAGCTGGTTTGATAGCCTATGGCTTTGGTGCACATGTGAGGTCATGACCTATGGAGGGAGTAGAAAGGAAGGCTGGGGGTCTGACTTGCCTTTAGGGCAGATCCCCTTGAGCATCTTCTGCTGCAGGCCTTGACAGATGACATAGTGAGTGTGTCCAGCCGCCTGGAGCACCTGGAGAAGGAGCTGACTGAGAAGAATGGGCAGCTGCGCCATGGCAGTGCCCAGGACCAGCAGCAGATCCGCCAGGAGATCAACAACCTGCGCCAGGAGAAGGACCAGCTGCTCAAACAGAGGTTGGAGCTCGACAACAAGCTGCGTCAGGGCACCCTGCTGTCCCCAGAGGTACCTCTTCTTGGGCTGGGCTGCTCTGCTTGCAAGAGCATGAAATAGTTCAAGAGAAGTATGTGGGGTCATAAGCAGATGCTCCTTCATGCCCCCAAAACTGTGTATATCCCGACTTCTTGCCAGCACTGAGGTGACAAGGGAGGTCAGGGCAGGGTGAGACAGAGCAAACCCTTTGCTTCTTAGTAACTGCAGCTCTGCTCTGGCAGGAAGAACGGATCTTGTTCCAGCTGGATGAGGCAATCGAGGCTCTGGATGCAGCCATTGAGTATAAGAATGAGTCCATCACATGCAGGCAACGAGTCCTGCGGGCCTCGGCCAGCCTGCTGTCCCAGTGTGAGATGAACCTCATGGCCAAGCTCAGCTATCTCTCCTCCTCCGAGACCCGAGCTCTGCTCTGCAAGTACTTTGACAAGGTGGGAGACAACTGCCCTCTGTGCTGGGGTGAGATGCCTTATCTGACCAAACCGTTGTTTGACTCGTTTCAAGCTTTCTGCCTGCCTCCTGTACTTTTGCCCTGTAGGTCACAAAGCCACAGCACCACCCACAGCACCTGTTCCAACACCTGGGAGATAGGCTTAACTAGTCGTAGTTAACTAGAATCGCTGTGGTGGCTCTGCCATGTCAGTGCAACCATACTCATACAGTGCAGCTCTTCCTTCTGCAAGAGACATGACATCCCAGAACTACTAACCTTTGCATGCTGTACCAAAAAACTAACTTGTTTGTGCTCAGCGGTGCAAGGAGGCTTCCAGGCTCTGAAGGAGCTGAGGTATTCTTTGCTCTTGGGCCCTGGCCAGGTGGTGACACTGCGAGAGGATCAGCACAGGCAGCACATTGCCTTCTCAGAGCTGGAGATGCAGCTGGAGGAGCAGCAGCAGCTGGTGCACTGGCTGGAGGCAGCCTTGGAGCGCCAGCGCCTGGAGATGGACCGTCAGCTCACCCTGCAGCAGAAGGAGCATGAGCAGAACATGCAGTTACTGCTCCAGCAGAGCCGTGGTAACCACTCAGCTCCTGAAACAGGCAGCAGTGACATGGCTTTTGTCTGTCTTGCAGCTTGAAAAGGCTTTGTTCTTCCTTGCAGAGCACATGGATGAGGGGCTGGCCAGCAGCAAGCTGCAGTATGAAGCAAGGATTCAGGTGCTGGAAAAGGAGCTGAGCCGATACATGTGGGCAAACCAGGAGCTGAGCCAGAGGCTGAGTAACATAAACCTGCATCCTGGACAGACCAAAGGTGAGAGGTAAACCCAGGCTGGGGCTGTGATTCTTACCAAGTTAAAAGTAAGGTAGTTAAAATTCCTTTCCCTGGCAGTGAGAGGTTGGAGCAGCACAGGTCATTGCTGGCCTTGAGCAAATGCTCTGTGGGCACTGATTTTGCTGAGAAAAAGGAGAGCTCCCTATCCTCATTTCACTGTACCCCCAATCTTTCCCAGCAGGTATGGAGAGGAGCATTCCCGGGGCTGGGGACAGAGCTGTCCCTGTGCTGAACACCTGTGAGGAGCCCAGCCTGGGGGAACAGCTGGTGCCTCTGGCTGTGACTGAAGAAAGCCATCGGGTGAGGGATGAGAGCAGGGACCTGGTGCACGCCCCTTTGCCATCCACCTGGCGCCGTTCCTCCCTGCCCAACGACAGCCCCGGGGAGCTCCGGCAGAGGGAGGCTGAGCACTTGCCCAGAGCAGCACAGCCCCATGAGCTGCACCCACCACGGGGTCCAGCCCCGGCCTCCAGACCCCGCCGGGAGCTGCGCAGAGCCAGCCCAAACATCGCCCCCATGCCTTACCACCCGGTGATGATAGACGTGAGGAAGAACCCACTCTAGACACAGGTTTACCACCTACCTGGCACAGGGCAGGGAGGAGAAGGTACTGCTGAGATGAGCTTAAGAGCCTTCCTGCCCCACAAGCAAGCCTGGCTACAAACCTGTTACATTTCAGAGGCCTGAGGAAGAAGAGACATGGCTTTTCATCATCAGGGAAATAAGCATCAGCCTGCATTCCCCAGAGTGCTGCCACTCTGCACAGCACTGGCTGGACACCTTTCCTCCCACACTCTGCAGCTTAAGCACTGGGAAGTGGGAGATACTCCCACCCTGGCCTCTAACACTAAAATCTTGTTTACAGTTTGGAAACCTCTGTGGCAGGGCTTGGTCAGCCCTAGCAGCCTCAGAGGGAGATGCTCTGCAGTCCTGCAGAACTTGTACATAGATTTTTTTTTTTTGTAATAACTTTGGTGTTTTTACATTTCTACTGTAACTTTTCTAATAAAGCAGAGTGAATTTTATGAAAGTTACTTGTCAGAGGCTCATTGTCACTTACTCTGGGTATGTGGGAACAGTTATATTTAAACCTCACTGCATGGAAACTCAGCTGCTGTCACAGCATTGCCTTAATGTTTAAGTACCTGCTTTTTAAGTGCTCACAGCCAGAGCTGGTAGACTTCCTGCATGGAGTTGCTGCAGGAAAAGCACTTCCAGACAGCAGAATTGTGTGAAGCATCTAGGATAAAAGCAACCCTGGTTCAGGGTCATTTTCAGCTCCAGCCTTTAAGCTGCTTTAAGCAGCATTTTCTTACTTGAGAAAACTTCCAGTCTGGATGCAAGGGAGTTTACATACAATCCTGCAACTTCACACACCATTCACCTCAGGAAGGGGGACACAAGTTTAACTCTGGCAGAGAAAGAAATGAAAGCCCAGGTACCTGACTTTAAAAAGGTAAAAGGGGGAAAAAATGGCAGCTTGGCTTCCTGACCCCAGAAAGCAAGTCACTGCTTCAGCCTGAAATCACAAGCACAGCTACTTTACCATTTGAGGAGTAACATTTCAGCCTGAAATCACAAGCACAGCTACTTTAACTACCATTTGAGGAGTAACACGCCAACAAGAAAGCATCTGAAGCAGGAACCACCTTCTGATCTCCTGCATACTTCATCTTGCCTGTAGGGGTATGGCATTGAGGGGGACAAAACTCTGGGTGTGACTGAGCTACACGACCTAAGTTCAGAGCTTTTGTTTTCTGCTATTGAAAACAAAGACTTTTAGCAGGAAAATCTTATTTCCATGATCTTCATAATTCTCTGCCTCCTGTGCATTCACTAGACACATGGCACTTCCCTGGTGCCCTGCTGTGCACAAATTGCCATCCTAAAGGAAAACAGCAACCTTCCCAAGATAATGTACAATTTTAGCCCCTTGTAGGCTATGTCTTGGGCACTGAATCACAGTTCCTGCTGTCTTCATGGGCTTAGAATGCAAGCACATGTTTCACAAAACAACTAAGTCACTATGTAATCAGTGACTCAGTTTGGTGAAGAGCAGTCTTTGAACTCTCATCTCCAGTTATTTCATCAAGTTTTACCTCTCAAGGAAGTTTCCCCAGCCAGTCCTCTCTGGAATTTTGCAGAAAAGAACAATGAAGTTACTCCATCAGTACCTTCTTACCCAGCAGTGGCCAGGAACAGATACAGAAAACCATAATCTACGAAGAGGGAGAATCAAACTCCTCCCCTGTTTCCAACTAGATTATCTGTCGCCTCCTCTGTACTCTTTTGGCATTTCTCAAGTATTGCTCAGTAATTTACTCAATCCATCTGAATTAATCTGCTTGTTATTTTCCCACTAAGCTGTAGCAAACTGAATGCAACTGACAGAGGGATCAAGTCTGCACCAGAACAAGACACACAGCAGGAGCACACAGCTTGTTTTGTACCCACTCACCTCCAGCATCTTCCTTCTTACAGCCCCAATCTTGGGCCCAACACTTGGGCAAAAGACAGATTCCTAATTAAACAACACAATAAAAATTCACATTGGTTTATTTTACAAGAAAGCTGTAGAGAAGTGACAATTCTCCCTGTTTACCTGGCAGAATTGAACCTTCACTGCAGAACTCAGCTGCCACAGGCACAAGATGTGCCAGTAAGGCCAAGATAGGCTCTGAATGGATGGACAGATGCTGTAATTGAGATTAAAAAACCCACATTTGTAGGATGGTCCTTATTTCCACTGTCATATGCTTGCACCCAGCCTCCTATCAACACAAGACAGCTCCAGTCCAGCACCAAGTATAAGGTCCTTGTTAAAAAGCATGTTGTTTAGCTGGGATAATGCAAAGTTTCCCATACTGTTCTGGCTCCAAACTTCAGCTGAGCAGCCTTTTCCGTGAGTAAGTCCTGCTAAGAGGGCGCCTCCTGGAAGCCATGATGTGGAATGGAGACAGCTCCTGATTGGCAGTCATCTGGAAGGCATCAGATTCCTCTTCTACAAAATAGAAAGAATTAAAGCCGCAATTTGTCAAAGTTTACTGGTGACTCCAAGAAGCCAAATACTAATTGGAAAACAAGATCAGTAAGCTGCACTTCATACTAAGCTACTATCTTCCTTCATTACTACCTCCCCTCCCTTCCAGACTTCCCAGTTTATGCCAAGTTTATTGAAAGCATGCAAAATGGAGGCAAAGAATACAGAAGTGTCAGATAGAACAGGCTTTCTGCACAGAGACCAGTCCCCAGCACAGTATGCTTTTGCTGTCCTGTAATTGCAAGCAAGTGGAGAGCACACTCAATCTGCTGGAGCCCACCCAGCCTTCCCATGCAACACAGGTGGTTGGTTACCTTGGACATGTGTTCTCCGAGATGGTGGTGTCTGTCCCTGGCATAGCAGTGGGGACTGGGTCAGTGCTAGAAGGCTGCTAGCAGAGAGAACACTCTTCACTGGTGGAGTAGAGCCTGGAGAAACACAGTGAGATGCTGCAGCAACCTGACAACTCAAGTTGCCTTCAGGTAAGTCATACACAGCCTTTATTCTACCTCAAAACTTCCATCAGTACAAGTGATACTTTATCTGGAACATCTAGGCTGGCACAATGGCTTTCTGGCATTAAGAAGGGTAAAGGGCAGTCTGGAATTAGCTCTCAGCTCAGTTAATTTTCTTAAGTGGTTTAGTAAAAAAGCGCTTCACTTGTATTAAACATGGCAACTCTTCAGTCACCTCACATGTCCTGGTAGAAAACTTATTATAACATGTAACTTATTATAACATGTCTGTAAATACAAAAGCAAGGTCTGTAGGTCCAGAAAGTCTCTTATAGGACCAGTTTAAGGCTAAATACTGCTATTTAACATCCTGAATATGGACTACTGTTGCTTTAAGTCTGCCTCTGCTTCTCAGTGGTATCTGTTGAATGAGATGCTGGTGCTGGATACAAACCTTTCCTTGTGAGAAAACTGACACTGAAGCTTAATGCTTCAGGGGATGCAATGACTATAGAACAGTTGCTGCACTCCCCTGAAACACCTAATTTAACAATTTTTGTTAGAATTCTTGTAACTGTAACAAGTACTTGAAATTCACAAGGCCTTACTTAAAGAGCTGAGACATCTTGTTCCACCCAGGCCAGCTGAATCATCTGTACCCATAGCAAAAGCAAAGAGGGAGTTTAAAATTAAATACCTACCAACATAACATAGAACAGATAGAAAGTGGGGCACCAAGAAATGTCAATATCCACAGGACTAACCTGCCAAGGCTCCAGTCTATACTGAAGCAGCAAAGCCTTATACTTGAGACAAGTATCTTCAGTGACGGATGCTGGGCAGAAATAGTTACCAGCATTAACACAAACCCAAATAAATCACCTGGTCTAATTTCAACATGTATTGCAATATAAGAGCTATTGCTTCCCTCAGTCAGAGCTTGCATTCCACTCTGTGCACTGTAGTTAGCTCAAACCACCTTTATTCACTCTTGAGTTCTCACTATTTACAAGATAGCAGTTGGATGCAATTTTTAATCCTCTCTCCAAGTTTCCACTTTCCTTTTAATTCCTCCAGCCTTCTGTTCTTTCATATTTCTCTGCTCCCACCCATCATTATTGCTCCATCGATTAACTCCTCATACCTCATCTGCCTCACCACATAATTAATTTCTATGTGATTTACAACCCACTGTCCCCCTCTACCTCATTCTCCCTCAGGTAGTTGGACAGAAAACAGTTTTATTCTTGTTTTTGTCTACCCCCCATTCTTAACAATCTCAATTTCAATGGAGTGCCAGTCATGCCACTTAATTACCTGAGAAAAGGAAGACATCGTCGTCCTGAGCACAACTGTGCTGCTCAGGAGCTATGAGTGCACATGCTTCTGGTTTCTCAGGAGGTACAGACTGCATGCTTGATTTGCTCCTGTTGACCTCATCTGCAGAAAATCCTGTGAGATCCAAGTTGCACCTATCAGTGCAAGATCTCTTGGGATCAGATTTCTCCTCCTTTTCTGGTGATAGATACGTAAAGACCCGCTTCCGAGATTTCAAGCCAAAAGTTCCCAGGGCAGACTCATCAGCCCTAGGTTCAGAGTCACTAGGAGATGCCTGATCCTGGAGCCTGTAAACCCCTTCCAGTTCAAAATCCCCAAGAGTATTTGTTACTTTGCTGATGCAGTGTTCCAAGACTTTCATCTCTCCTTCTCTGCCTGTTGACACCCTTTTCTGTTCATCAGCATTCTTCTCACTTTGCCCACAGTTAGAGTTGGCTGTGCTGCCTGCTGCTCTCTTTCTCCGAGGCCAGTCCTTGATGGCATCAGGAGTGGTCTTCCCCTTCTGCTTCGGAGAAGGTGTCCAAGGAACTCCTGCTTCTGATGGGGAGGTGGCACTAGAGGCACAGCTTGTCGGGGTGTATGACTGGCATATGTAGGTCTGTCCTCCACCTTTCCCAGGTGTACTGTGGAAAGAGCGAAAGCAGGAGGGTGAAACACAGGCAGCTGCTAGCTTTCCTGGGTGCCTGCTACACCAGGTCACAGCAAGATCACCAAAGGGGCTTTCTCCTCCC